CAGAGTTTAGCTTTTTCGAATTAGTCTTTTTCGGAATAACTTTATCTGGAGGTATTAATTCTATATCAGAATCTGAACTGAAACTCGGCGGCTGGTTAGCTCCATTTCGAACTACATTTATATTTACATTTCCGGAATGAGTGGAGGTATTAACAATAGCAGAAGGTGTTTTCGGATCGGTTTTCTCTGGAGAATTTATAGATGATTCTTTTCTTGATTTTTTCTTTCAGACAACAACTTGATTTTACGTACTGAGAACCACGTCTGATTTTCTTGCTTCGTAATTTGCATATTTCCGCCGGTATGCAAATATTCTGATTCTGATTGGCTAACCGCCGGTTGCATGTAGCAACGCCCTCTAGTGAGCGTGTGGTCTCACGGTTAAGGTTTGCATATTCAACTTTCCTTTTACTTTCATTGGATACAACTTTTTTCTTTGAGTACAAGATGATCGTCCGCCCTCTAGCGTCGGATTTTTTTTATAATTTGATTTACCTTTTGACCCCCAGGCTTTAACTGGTCCTTAGGTTTCACTGCATCGTTTATCATTTTTTTTCGCAACTGTAAAACTTTCATCGTAATGGCTTGTCAAGGGCGCCGCTGCAGATGAAAACCGAGACAAATAATCTGCCATTCCCATTTTCGACCCTTGTCTATGCTCAACTTTGAAATCATACGGTACTTAACGATCGTACCATCGAGTCAACCGACTAAAAAATGTTTTATTTCCTTTTGGTAAAGAATTTAGTAGTGTCAGTAACGCCTTGTGATCCGATATAACCGTAAAAACATCGTCCGTAGATATAGTTTTGAAAGTGTTTCGTAGCCCACAATACCGCGAGTAACTCCGATTCATTTGTAGAATACTTTTTCTCGGTCGGATTATGATAGCGTGACGCAAATGAATTGGGGTGCCAACCGGAGGCGCTGTATTATTCTAACACGGCCGCTAGGCCATCGTGACTAGCATCGCAAATTATCCTAGTTTCACGGTGAATATCAAAGTGCCTAAGCTCTACAATGTTTTTCACTAGAGATTTCAATTGTTGAAACGCGTTCTTGCAATTCGATGTCCAGACAAAATCGTTGTTCTGACTGAGTAACGGTCTTAACGGTGCGCTCACTTCAGATTGTTTTGGCAAAAATTTATGCGAATTGTGCGTTGAACCCATTAATGATTTTAATTGTTTTCCAGATTTTGGGGTTTTCAGATCTTCTACCGCTTGAGTTTTCCGAACTAATGGCGCGATGCCATTTTTCCCAATTCGGAACCCTAACCACTCGCAGTCGGTTTTTTGCAAATTCGCATTTCCTTAGTTTCAATGAAACGTTTGATACGTCCAACTTCTTCAAAAGTTTTTCCACTATTGCAATACGCTCTACTCTTGTTCCCTTTGACGCAATTAAGATATCGTCGATGAAAGCATTTGCCTGAGTAAATTCTTTAAGTAAATTATCAATGACTTTTTGAAACTCCGCCGGCATTGATGTGAGCCCGTAAAATCCGTTTCTAAAACGAGATGTTCCCGTCGATTTTCCGCCGACTAGTGAAAAATTACACTGTTCGCTAGTCTTTTGTTCCAATGATACTTTTCCGTACGCGTAAGTGAAATCCAATGTTGTAACGTATACATCCCCCGCTTTTCGTTCTGCAATTAGTTGACTAATCCCGTCTACTTGTTCGACAATGTTTGGCATTTGGTACATATTCTTGTGTACCTGCTTTTTAAGTTCTCTTGATTCCAATGCCAATATTATGCTTCCATCTTTTTTTACTGTGATTACTATAGGAGAGACGAAGTACTCATCCGAATATTCTTGTAATTTAATGATATGGCCTTCCTTGTCTATTTCCTTGTCTACTTTATTCTGTAGACTGATAGGCACTCGACGCCCTTTTTGTTGTATCGGCTTTAGATTTTCAAATAATTCGGCTCTTACTTTAACGTTTCAGATTTTCCCTATTCTGATAAATAAATTTGGGTACAACTTACAGAAATTTGTTTGTAATTCATCATAATCCTCCTCTTCCTGACTGCTCCCTTCCCCCGTGATCCCCATCACTTTCTTTCTCTGCACCAACTCCAGGCCTAGGGTACCCATCAGATCGCGACCAAGGATTGACTGATGATTCCCTGATATTACTGACACTTGCGCTGGAGAAGCCCAGCCATTTAATGCCATCGTCACCGCCATTTTCCCAAGTATGTGTAATCGGTTGTTGTTGTAGTCAAAGAATTCTTCTTCAGATGGTTGTAAATGAATATTATTTTTACCTAATGTTGCTTTCAGGTCCGTCAAGCTGAAAATCGTCACAGGAGATCCGCTACCCACCCAAAGCCACATCTTCTTTCCCGACACCTCAACCTGGACTCTGGCTTCTGGGATTTTTCAATTCTATCACATTTTTTTTCTTGATCGACATCGCCATGTAGTCATCGGATCCCGATGTCATGGATTCATTCTCCCCGCTGCCCTGCTGATTCACCCATGCCATTTGATCTTCTGACGCGTTGTCTACACTATGCATGCTCTGGTGATGCTCGTTTTCATCCCTCGCCAGTCCTACTCGTCCTCGTCCTCTCCAATGGTTAGTACCTCTTCTAACTCCCCTGCATGTGCGTTCAAAATGTCCCAATTTTCGGGACGCATTACATGTTGCTCTTTTCGCAGGACAACTCGCAATATGGTCTAGCTTAAAATTCGGCGCCTCACAATTATAACACCTACGGTCATTTCCGCCGTCTCCACTGCCTGATCCTTGGGTATATCCTCCGCGTTCCCCGCGTGCTCGACATCTGAAATATATTTGCCCCTTCTGATATTACTAACTGGCTCCTGTTTTATGGTTATTGGCGGCGCAGACGAGGCCAATTTTCCGGTGTAGGATTTATATGCACGTTCACCTCTCTCATACGATAGTGCTATCCTATATACCTCCTCTGGTAACTTGGTTGACCGTGATAATTCTCTTTGACATCAGATTCCCGCATATTCATAATAAAAATATCACGAACATTTTCAGCCGCGTTAGCAAAATCACACCTTCCCGCAAGGGCGTTTAACTCAGCGTGAATTTCTCGAACGTTTCATTCTCCCTCTGCTTTCTCCCATAGAATAGTCCCCTCTCATGTGTCACAATTCGCTCACGTTTGAACACGTTTTGCATTTCGTCCAATACCCGTGGGTATCTTTCCGTTTTAACATTCACCGCCGGTTTTCGGGCTTTAAATATCCTTTGCCCCTCGTCTCCAATACAGAGATATAGGTTAGACTTCAACTTCTTCTCCGCCTCGATACGATTTTTTCCATTTACATCCTCCGATAACGCCGCAATGGCCGCTGCATTTAGAGTACGCGCAAAATAAAAATCATCAGGGTCGATGTCATATTTTGCTATCATGCCCCCTGGAACTGTATGATCCACTCTTCCCGCTCTTCCACTCACAGGCGTCCGTGCGTCCCAGAATGATACAATATTTAGCGGATTTTTCCCTCCTCCTTTTCGTTCCGCTGGCTGCGCCATGTTGAAGCTGTAGAATGCATAGTAATGAAAAGAATAGTTGTTTAAATTTAATTGCAAATCAACTGTAAGGCATCAAATCTAAATCTTACTGCACCTTTCTGTTTTAACATCACCGGACGATAGAGATCGCAAGGTCTCAACAGCAGGTCCCCAGACAGGAAGAAACAAACTCATATAATTCATATAAACTCAAACTGGTGCCTATCTCAGTTTCTTGTTTTTTTTGGAGAAATCTTGAGAATGCACGCCTTCTCGAAAAAAAAATGAAATATTTCTCAGATTATCTGCAATATATTGGCACGGTTTAATTTCGCTCAAATCAATTTTTAAATAATTTAACTGAACTGCCGGATTATTTCGTCTTATCCGATATGCATTAACAGAAATACAGCACGCGTTAATTTTCCCGAAATGAACAAAATAGCAAGTTTCAAACCGTGCGCTCAATCAAAATTAAGCAAAAAAAAATTCGTTTTTTTATTTTGAGCTCAAGAAAATAAATTTTTTTAGAAGGTACTGAAAAATTCATTCAAAAATTTGCTGGTCCAAAAGCTGAAAATTGTCAAGAGAAAAAATTACCCGACCCAAGTAATTGGCGTTTTCCGATTATAGTACCACCCCAGGAAATTATAGCCCCCTCATAATACAAAACTACGGCTGTATTGAGTCTCTCATTTATAGTTATCAAATTGGCAAGTTTTATTGAGAAAGAATCAAGTATCAGTTAGAAAGAATTTAATGAGAAAGAATCATTGTGTGTGTGTGTGTGTGTGTGTGTGGTGTGTGTGTGTGTGTGTGTGTGTGTGTGTGTGTGTGTGTGTGTGTGTGTGTGTGTGTGTGTGGGTATATGTAAAAGAAAATGGTCGAAATTTAGCTTGAACAAAGACTAGGTTAAAATTTACTTTCATTTCATTTTAAATTAATTTTTTCATTTTTTAAACTAAAGACGAAATGAGATGGTTTTGATCAAAATTTTGTTTTCAACTATAAAAAATGTTTTAAGCTATAAGAAACCGCGGCAAAACATTTCTGCCAAATCTGTTTTGAGGTGTGCAATTTTTGCACCAAGCATTGGCACACAAAAATGTTCCTGAAGTGTAATCATGGAACTAATTATTCATACCCTTTCTTTATATCCTTTATGAGTCGTGTTTTAACACTTAATATTTGATATTGAAAATCAAAGTTTATCATTTTTTGACAAAAAACTATTGGAGACTAATTAAAGAGCAGTCAAAACATTCAGGGCTTTGCCCTGATATACGAGCAGTCTTGTTTTACTGCAGAAGGGGTGAATCAAGGAAAAAACATCCGTGGTGAACTATTTCTGGGCATTCGCACTTAGCATGATCCGCTTGTTACGTCGTATTGACTTATGTTTTACTTATCTTGCTTCACCAACCTTGCGATGACCAATTTGTCATAAAATATAAAACAAATCCAAATTTGATATAATTTGTAAATTTGCAATCAAACTAAAATCAACGATTAAATCAATACACGAACATAAATACAAAACGGTTTGCAAAATACAAAAAATTATAAATTTACAATTAAGATTATCTTGCTTGAAGCGAACTTGTAAGATCATCATATCCGACATAAAATCCTCGCCCATAAAATTGTCAATCTGACGTTTCTAATGATTATATTTTTGCATAGCTTATTTTAGCTTGTATAAAATAGCACAGCGCGTTAAGCTAAACTTGAGCTATTCGTGACTCGCCGTTCTCGTTTTGCTGTCGTTTGAGAGAATTTTTTGCCGAAGAGCTTTGACTCCTTTCCAGACTATTTCTAACGTCTTTGCACAAGTCGGGCGCTTCTAAAGGAGATTGCGATTCGGGTTGAAAATTATTTGTCGGACTGTTAACAACTCCGCCAGCTCGAAACGAGTTTTCACTCGGCAGATTCCATGCTCCGGGTCGCGAACTTGAGTTTTTGGGATGGGAAGGGTTTTGGGGTCGAGGGGGGACTTCGGGTGAGACTTCGTCGCCCTCGCTGATTGAAGAGTTAGCTGGGGAGGGTTGTTTTTGTTTCCTTGGACTTGATAGAGGAGGTGTTTCGGATGTCGGATTAGTTGCGGGTGGTTTGCCGACATGCAAGAGTCCTGGAACTGGTCTGCCTAAAATGTCCAAATTGTCCGTTTTTTTTAAAGATTTTGGCGGAGTGAGAAAAAATAACAAACAGTGCAGGTAGTTGTTAAACACTATACGACGATTACTCAAGTGTAAAAGTTAAAACCAAACGTTACTGGAATGATTTCAATTAGGGAACATTTCGTTGATTCGAGTCGTGTTTTAATCATGGAAACCAATAAACTCCAGGCACGAATCAGGTCAGAGACAAAACTGGCTATTCTAAACGATTCGTTAATTTTAACTAACCAGAAGCGTTTAGCGCCTTGACACTTTAAACTGAAATATTCACCAAGTTTTAAAAACATATTCATTTAGTTTATGTTAGTCAGTAAATCAAATTTAAAGTTAGGAAGTTTCTAACAGTCAGAAGTACGTTTAACATAGAAAAAAGCTAATGGTGTTCACATTTTTTGTTAATTATTCTATTTTACTGTTTGTATAATAAAAGACGACAGCCTTTAAAAAAACATAAAATTTAACACTAAAAACTGTTAAAAAAGTAACATGCACAATAATAAGGTTTCTGATGATGCATGTAGTTCATATTTACCATAGGAGGAGTTGTCGTCTACGTGGTTGTTGTTCCAGTTGTTTTTTCCAGGTGCAGGAGTGGCTGAACTATTCTGACCCCTTCCGCTGGTGGCGTAGATATTGTTCATGTTTTGCTCACCATCTGGGGGACTTCTGTTCGGGTGAAATGTCTAAAAAGTGTGAAAACATTAACTTCAAGTTATAATAACCTCATTTAATCATTGCTTTTTATTTAGCTCGTGACTATTTAGTAGCTTCATCAGCATTTTTTGGTTATATTGTCTTAATCATTTGCATGTGTCGCTGAAAACTTTTTCATTGAGCAAATGGCTCTCTAGTGTTTTAAATAAATTCAGAAATCAACCAATTTTTCCAATCAAAAGGTCAGCCCACATACGAAATATAAACCAATTAAAACGAAAAATAGGTTCAAAAATATCTATACATTGATCAAAATTTCATTGGTTACAAAAATCCTACTACGTCCTTCACGCATCACAACAACACATGGAGATATAAAACATTCGTGGGGAAAAGACGCTGTTTTTTCTGAGGGTAAAATGTAACAAGGAATAAGACGCATTTAATGAGACATGTTATTCATTAGAGATTTTTGTTTCAAGTTGACATTTTAAGTGATCTCGTCAAGGCTGCTGCACGACAACTTACAGAAAACATGGCACTAGAGTTTTCACCACTCTAAATAAAAAGAACATCTCCAGCTAAAATGTACAAGTTCTGCAAAATAGCCAAATTATTTTTTTCAGTTATGCACACAAAGCAAGGGTTAAGCAACACTTCATAACAGGAGACAAATCGCAAATAGCGACAGTTCGTGAAAAGGCGCATTGGCAAGTAGCGACCACTTTCTCCGCTGCGCTTACTCGGCGCGAGAGGTATTTTGAGCGAATCAGTGTTTGTCACTTAATCAAATGTTAACGAATTGTCGCCTCTTGCAATGAATATCTTTAGATTTTCGGATGATTCGGGGAAATTAGGGTTCTCAAGCAGGCGCGGATCTAGGATTTTCTCGAGGGGCGGATTCTCAAAAAAAAATTCAAAAAGATTTTTTTAGATCGACTAAATTGATTTTCTGAGCTCTCCCAAATCTTCATAAAGACCTTATTTTGACCAAAGTTTCTGCACCGCAGGTGTTTTTAGGCACATTTTGAAAATTTGGACGAAACAATCGCCTTTTTTCGGTGCGAGCTCCCACCTCAAAATTAGTATACAATGGCGCCGTAGGCGCCTTAAAAGATCTTTGAATGTCAGTCAGCCAAAAATGGATATCTCAAAATGGTACAAAGGAGGGCCCTTTGAGTGTGGCAGGGGGTCGAATCCCTGAGAAAGGCGTCCGCCCCCCTAAATCCGCTACTGTTCTCAAGGGTTGAATAAGCAAGGAAAGTTAAACAGATATATTGGTAGTAAAATTCAAGACCTTCACAAAGCAATTTACTTTTTAGAATTAGGACTTTTGACATTTTGCTCTGAAACGGGAATAACAAAAAGATGATTTTTCGTAAAATTTGAGCGTAATCTAAGACTTGGTATGCTATATTTTCTACCATTCTAGACTTTTTCATCTTGAATTCATAGCCAGTATTAGCTTTTTATTTTATGGTACAAACCACTGATTTACGTTGTTTGCATACAAAATCTCTAGGAATGTATCAAACTGATCTGTTCACCTGGTGGTGATTATTGCGAAGAGTTTGAGGAGTGCGACTTTCGTAGCCACTGGGGGCATATCGGCTGTCATAGGGAATTTGGGGTCCTCCCACAGCATACCTGTTCTGGAAAGCGGACAAGTCATCGCCTGAAATGATAGAAAGTCGATTAGACGAGGAGAGATGTAACTGCTAAGGATTCTGCATCACGACTCCTTCTTGTGGTACTTTTTGTGGTACGAATTTTGTGATACTTTAACAGCTAGTTAAGGTTTTTGTTGAAAAACGTATATAATATTGGAAAATTTTCAAATTATAGACTGGAAATGTCCGCAAACTCTTATCATCAAGAACTAGGGTTTGAGGCAAAAAAATTCTTCTAATTATATTATGCTCTCATTTTTTTATCGTGATTTCAACAAACGGCGACGAACGAATGGTTAACAATGTCCTTTATGTATTTTAATCATCATGATGGCATGTTGTTTTGCCCTGATCTTGTTTGACAGCCAACAGCAAAAACCGTGTAAGCTTGATTTGATTTATGGTAATTTCCATTAGATCTATTGCCTAAATTTAGAAATAACCTTTTTCAGACGAGCAAACATCAAATACACTACAAAATTCCATGCCATAAAATAATTTACCATCCAGCAGACAAAGATAATATACAAAAGACCAGAAAAAAGTATAATTTTGTACCTCAGCTGAACTGACAAGCGTTTGAAGGATAGACAACTATGAGTCACATAAGATTTATTTCAGGCAGAAAACTTGTCAAATATTTGTGAGAGAACGCCGTTAAAAATTTAGATCATGCATCGTTTTATTATAAGTAAAAAAACTCACTCTATTTTCTTTTGTGTCTCAATTTCACCTAAGCCCCCCTTGGATTTTTTGATTAAAAGAAAAGCAATGGAAATTGAGACAATGGATTAAAGAGATTCCTAATTTATCTCGGGTGGAAGACTCTGATATCAACTGCCTTTTGCTAACTGGGTCAATTTTGTTAAGTGAATCATTGGGTGAAAGATATCTGTTTTCACCTTTTAAAACATTTTTTTTTCGCAAAAAGACCCCGTAGTAACTTTGTGAGAACTTCAGAAATGCGCCAAAATCTAATATTTCAGAAGCCGTAGGGTTACAGATACCGAGGATTGTTCACGAAGTTACCGAAAGAGTGGTAAACAATTTCTGGTGCAAAACTATTAGCTCAATTACTCTTTCAGAGAGGAGAATTCGCAATTTTAATATCATTCTGACTGAGCAGCATCTTTTCCCAATAAGCTAATAAAAGTTTTTGAATATCTTAGAAGTTCTCAGACCCAAATTATCCATCATCTAAGATGCGGATTTTCGAAAAACAGGGCCATATAAAGCATTTCAGAAATAATGACATGCTAAAAACAGACCACACATCATCATCACCATTGTTAATTGATTTATGATGCGCTCTTAATTTACATTTGAGACTTAAAATGTCGACTAAGTTTTTATCTCATATATCTGTCAAAGATCTGATTTTTACCGGCAATTACAATTTTTAAAGCCATTAAAATTGCCAATTAATGGAAAAACCGGGGGTTAAGCTCAATTTGTAAGAAAAAAGATGTAATTGAAAAATATATAAAGCACTGAAAGGTCATTATCGCGTCCATTAAACTAATGAAAAGGCCCTTGAGATAAATCATTAGTTACCTTTTGCTGATAAGCAGACCTATTTTCCTACGGATGTTTGGTTTTGATACATTATCAACTGGGCTCACTAAGACTAAGACCAGCTTTGATTGCGCGCGAAGTTGGGATAAATCAGACAATTTGAGAGGATTTATAGAGAGAAGTGTAAATATATCGTTGCCACTTGAGTAAATTTGCAATGGTTTTCATTGAGCTTATGTTTTTCTTTCAAAAACATCAAAGCACAAATGAACCTCAGAGTTAAGAAGAACTTCACATTTATTAATAATTCTTCTAAGAAAAAAACGGAAAAAGTATATGAAATTAGCACAAAATCTATAGATCGCCTTTCAAAGACAAATAAAAAATCATGCAAATTTGCCTAGATTGCTATTTATATTCACTTTTCTTTTTTCTTAAAAAGGGAAATAAAAGGCCCTAAAACACAAAATAAACTGGATATCCATTTTTATAATCGGCAAACAATTACTCCAGATCAAATTATTATTCTACTGCAAGCAGACTGACAATACTGTGTTTATGATATGACGACTGCATTTCTGGGGGCCTCCTTAATGGCCCAAAAAAGGCAATAAATCTCAATCGGTGTGGTGGGAATTGTGGATAAATAGGGTGTTCACGCCTCAAGAAGAGAGAGAAAAAGTCAAAACCAAAAATGACACCTGATCCACAGAGGTCAAATAAGCTATAACAAACCCAATGGAGTGTTACAAATTTAAGTTAAATTTTTTAAAACTCAAATTTGTAATAAAACTTATCATGGTCGTAACTTCAGGAACCTAATTAGGAATACTCTGATGTTTCTTCACTATATCTCTTATGGCGTTTTGGGATTTGGTAGTTTTTTGTCCCACGCAAAATTACGTCCCAGCAAGCCTAGCCAGTCGTAATTCGTGCTCAATTAAAGGTGTCCCAAAAATCAGAAAACTGTAGAGAAAAAAAAACAAATAGTTTCGCTTTTTAGCCCAATATCATTTTGAAGTCAAAACTAATTCCATTTATCTAATATCTGAGCAAAAAAATAATTGGTATATTTTTGTTACAATACATAGGCCAAACCTAACTTAATTTTTTAATCGAAACGTTTTTCGTTTTTTGGAATTTTTCTAGCAACAACAATAACTGTTGTCGCAATCCGGTATTAACTCAATATCTGTATCAAGTTTTAACACAGAGACCACTTGCGATACAACACAAACACACAAAAAAAAGAGTAAAAAAAACAAAAAAGAAAAATATTGAACAAAAACTACGTCTACCAAAATTTTCGTTTGTCTCGACAAAAGTGTTCAGTCGGTACAAACATACCAAGCGACACATTTGAATACTAAATTAGCAACGGAACAAAACTTACGAAAAGAAAACAACGCGGACAAACTTTGAATAGACACCAATTGAGCCGTAAACATTTTGATTTTATAAAATAAAAATAGAAACTACAATGAACAACCTGAAACTGCAATGAACAACATTGCAGCTACACGAAAAAATGACAGCTGTGAGTCAAACTTCAGACCTCAGGTTGTTAGTCCAACCGCGTTGCCTCTAAGGAAAGTTGAAGGAGTGGAAATTTTCAAAGTTTAATGATGAAGCAAGCTTGTTTCTTACAATTTTTCAAGTTCTTAAAGTTGCTAAAGGGAAAAGAGTCTAGTTCCCAAATGCAAGACACTTGCTCTAGCAAGTGTAATCCAAACAAGTGCACATAAAATTTTCCCCCACACTATAATTGAAAAAAAAAAGAGATTCCAACAAGTTTTGTCCATCTTTCGCTGAAATAGAGTTGAAAAAACGTCAGTAGTTAAATACTATAATGGTTAATTTCTTGACCATTGAAAGAAGAGATCTGATTTGCTGTCCTTAGAACTGCAATTGTATCTTTTATTAACTTCAAACTCAACAGCTGGGTCTGAAATGCGACAGTCGTGTACATTGTCTACACTGTCAAATTGAGGTGGATGGTCTGGATGGTCGATAGCCTCAAACTTGTATTCTCAAAATGCTACCAAGCCACTCACAGATGTAAACTTGGATAAGTATGATGCATTTTTTTAATAAACAGATTCTCCAAAAAAAGTTGGGCGACCAAGGGACAAAAAACTACAATTTTATGTGACTTTCTGGAGCGTTCTTAAACCCAAAAAGCTGGCATTTATTTTCTCCACTCAAATGCAATTGAGATAACTTGTTGATCGGGCATCGCCGTTGCGATTTTATTTTGAAAATTCGAGTAGTTGAATAACTTCGAGTAGGCGTTCATGGCTCACGAAGGTAGAGAAAACGTCGAGGTGAAGAAATTACAACTGAACTACCGAATCCGAGTAAACTGTTAAGATAAGGTTGAAGCAGAAACAATTTCTAAAAGATCGGAATAAATTAACCGATTTTTAAAAGCTTACATCTTCTCCGTGAACTTTTTTTTAACAAAAAAAGTTTTCTCGTTTTTCTTGAATTTTTTTTCAAAAACTGTGGTCGCAATCTGTTTCCTTTCTCAAATTCTGAATTGAGATCTCCTATAGAAACCTTCCATGAATCACGTTCAATTTACAGTTTTCCATGCATTTTTACCCTCACTAAAAAGAAACAAAATTGAGAGATACCAACGGCTTTTATTGCTCCTCGGCCCAAAATGTTTTGCAAAAATATCTGAATTCAACCAGGGGCAGATTTCGGGGGGACGCTTTTTTTCCTTCTCACCAGCCAAAAGGTCGCCCCTATTATTTTGTTTTATGACATCCATTTTCGGCCGACCAACCTTAAAATTTTTCTGAAGGCGTCTATGGCGCCAATATATTTTAATTTTGAAGGGACGCGATTCTTTGGTCAAAAATTTCCAAAATTTTTATTGGTTTCTGAGACTGCTCGAAAAATAAATTTGTGACTACCAAACATTTTTGACAATTTTTTGGAAATCAGCCCCACAGGAAATCAGCCCCATTTTTTGGAAATCAGCCCCCCTTAAGTTCCTGAATACTGCTTCAAATTCAACAACTGGGCTTGAAAAGGGAACGCCGCATACCATGTCTCACACGGTGGCCTTGAGGGGTTTGCAACCCTCGATGGTCGATAGCATAAAACTGGTAGACTGAAAATGTCAAGGGGCTCTCACACGTGTTGTGTTAACTTTGACAAATACCATATATGAACATCTCCTCCCTCGAATGGCTGACAGCAGGGCGATCTGGCGGCCAAAAAAGGATTTCAAAAAAGGGCAATTTTCTGGAGACAGTTATAGATCACATTGTAGCAAAAACTGCGGGCATTGAATTCCCTGCTCAACTACCATTAAGATTGGCTGTTGATCAAAAAGTTCAGATTCGGTTGTGTCTTGAAGATTGGGCTAGGCGTTGAAACACTATTCCAAAACTACAAAAATTATTTTTTGCACTATGGCAGTAAATTATCTCTTTTTGATCGCTTTCCTGACATTTAATTTTTTACCGGCTGGGATCTT